GCAGAGGGTGCGGGTGGATTTTCTGCAAGGCGCTGGTCGAAGGGGTGTAGCCGCCAGCTAAGGTGAGAGTGAAGGGCAGCGTCGCGGCAGGGGATGGTCTGTCTGTCGATGGACATGCCTCCACGTCACGAGAAATATCAAGCAGGTTGGCTCTCACAGCCTGAGGCTGGAGGATCGGGAAGCAACAGTCTTGGTGTGTTGGGAGAAGCAAACTCCTGCCTGGCTTTGTTATCAGGGGCTTTTGTTTCTGTTGTTTGGGTTTTCTGGTAGCATCTCCTTTGGGTGGGGACAGCGCTGGAAGCAGGTTACAAACCAGGCAGCTTCTTTCGCGGCTGCTGGTTCCATTTCGAGCCGGGTTAATAATCATCAAAACAAGAATGAAGGGAGTTGTTGTCTTGTGGCTTTTCAGTGCCTTTTATGAGCGGAGGTAACTCTTAATTCAGTCCCTAATAGACCATTTGGAGCGTCTGGGATTCCTCCGGAGGGAGGTGAGGCAGTGCCGGGGCCTGGGAGGCCACGCTCTGTGCTCCCCTTGGGAAGGGGTGGCACATGGCAAGGCGGTGTGTGGTGCTTGCTGTGGCTGTTGTTTACAGATGCGAGCGGGTGTCCTTCCCCTGCCCTGTATTCCCTGCTGGATTTCGTTGTAGCTCATAGCAAAAGATGAGGTATTTGGCGTTAAAAAGCAACGCACTTGTCAACGCAAATTTCCCTTTCTCGTATTTGAATGTGGTAACTGATGTCTGAATCCATCGCAGTGCTTCAAACAACTGTTGTCACTTCTTGTCGTGGAGGTTGAGTTGAGGGTTTGGGTGTCTTCTTCCTGGCTTCACCACTGAGATTAACCAGGAAATCTTGTTTTGTTTTTCCAGTTGCAATTTCTGAGCAGTTTTGTCCGGAAGACTGTGCTCAGGTTATGACGACTAATCCCAAACCGAACAAGGCATTAAAGGTAGGGAAGAAGGCCGAGTGGGTGGTGCTGGGTGGCAGGGGAGGCTGTTGTGGAACTGTGCAGCATTGGTGTTACATCATTGTTCTTTTTCATTCCAAGAGACTCTTACAAATGGGTGCTGATACAATTTCCCACTATCTGCAGGAAAGGTTAGGGTAGAAGAATGCTGGCAAAACCCAGAAAGAGGTTTGGTCTCTGGGATGGTTTGAAGGCTGGAGTATTCCAGCAGCTATCCAAGAGACTTCTGGCTATAGCAGGTATTGGCAGCATCCTGAAACCAGTGCTTCCAGGCTTGTCAATGAAGTACTTGTACTCTCAGGACTGGGAAGCACTGGGGAAAAGACATTTTCAGCTGGTGTCTCTCAAATCCACAAGGCAGTAAATGCCTCAGACATACCAGCATGATGATGGTTGATGGATGATGTGCATGGGGTTGTGCATGCATTGGTGAAATTTCTTTCCAGTCTTTTAGCTCTTCATTCTCTTATGTCCTGCAGTCTATGAAAAGACAAAAGGATATTGTCTTAAAACTTAGGGATTTAATGATCTTAAAGGTCTTTTCCAACCTAAGTGATTCTATGATTCTGAAAATAAAGGTGGCAGACCTGCTTGAGAAACAGCACAAGGCCTTGGTGGTTTTCTCATGTAACTTCTGAGTCTGGCCTGTGCCCCAGCAAAACCAAATCAGGCTGTGTCCTTGAAGCCAAGCAGGGTTGATTGCTCATTCAAGTAGTGAACAAAATCTTCAATGAAAAGCCACAAAATGCTGAATTAAGCCCTGCATACAAGTGGCTATTCTGCTTTTGAGATGCTGCACTGGTGTCCCAGCATAATGCTGGGAAAAGGTGTCATCTTCAGCATTCAGTGTGAATTCTGGGTTCTGACAAAGGAGCACAGAGGACTTCAGCCTGCATTACATTTATCTCTTTGAAAATCATGCTGTTGGGTTCCCACTGGGCATGTAAGGCTCACTGCTTTCTCTGACCTAAGAGGGTTGCCCAAACCCAGATGACAGCAGTGCTCAGATCTCTGCCATGTTTAACCCAGATGTTTTAGCAGAGTTTGTCCCCTCTACAGCACTTCCAGGGTGTTTTCCAGCTGGGACTGTCATGTTGCTGCGGGGTGGCCTTTCTCTTTTCGCTGTCCAGAACATCCCTTCGCGTAGGATTGCTGCTACCCCTGTGCTGTTGGTATTTGCAGGTAAAGGAGGAGTCAGGAGAGAATGCCCCAGTGCTGAGTGATGATGAACTCGTGTCAATGTCTGTACGGGAGCTGAACCAGCACCTGAGGGGTCTCACCAAAGAGGAGGTCATCCGTCTGAAGCAGCGGAGACGCACGCTGAAGAACCGGGGCTACGCTGCCAGCTGCCGCATCAAGCGCGTGACTCAGAAAGAGGAGCTCGAGAGGCAGCGGGTTGAGCTGCAGCAAGAGGTGGAGAAGCTGGCCAGAGAAAACAGCAGCATGAAGCTAGAGCTGGATGCCTTGCGCTCCAAGTACGAAGCACTCCAGACCTTTGCTCGTACTGTGGCGCGAGGGCCTATTACCCCGACCAAAGTTGCCACCACCAGTGTCATCACCATTGTGAAATCAGCCGAAATCTCATCCAGTTCTGTGCCGTTTTCAGCAGCGTCCTAGTGCCCTCGGTGGGGGGAACTAGCAGCCTTTCAGAGGGGAGGGGATAAGGCTCTCATGCATTGTTCCGGAGTCCTTGGTCACGTCAAGAATTGGCATTTTAAGAATTCTCTTCCAAAAGTGCAAAAAAATAGAAGAAAAAAAAAGAAACAAAAGAAAAGAGAAAAACAAACCCAAAGGGTTCCTACAAAGGGAACTTAACTGGCTGCTTCTGTCTGGACTCAGTGGCTCCATCAACCTCTTGTGTCCAGGATTTGAGCTCTGTATGCAGTGCAAATTGCAAGATCTGCTTCCTCCTTCCCCTTGCCTTCCCAAACCCCTCTCAGCCGTGGGCAGCTTTCCAGCTGGGAGAAGATATCTGAGGAGCCTCCGGAGTCTTCGTGAATGATGCTCAAGAGCCAGGAAACAGATGGACCGTAGAAATCATGATGTGAGATGAATGTATGGGAAAAAGAGTTTCCTTTAGTGGCCTCCTACTCCCTGTAAGAAGGGTCTCCCCTACCTTCCCCACTTCCATCTGATATTCTGAGGGAAGGGATATAGGCATCTTGGATCTGATTTCATCCTGCTATGAGTGGATGGGAGCAGGAGGACGATGGAGACTAATGCTTGGGTCTGACCACACCCATTAGGGATAACCTTTTGTTTTCAATCCATGCTGTTAAAATATGGGAAAATACATATTTTACATATTTTAATATGCCCCATTACCTGTGTGGCCTGTAAAAACTACATCACAGCCTCCTTTATTCCAAGCCCAAGTTTCCCAATAGCTCCTTCCCAAAGGTGTGCCTGTGAATTGGGTATATTTATGCAGTTTATTTCTTCCAAATGATGCGCAGTTTTGAAGTAGCAGCTTTTTTTTTCCTGGATTCCCTGAAGCTTAAGGGAGGGAGGCACAGTAAATGCTGTGAAGAGCTGTGTGATGGGGAGGAGAAGGGGAGATGAGGAGGAAAAATGCTGCAAGTATTAGTGGTGGAGGCAGAACCAGCTGTGAGAGAAGGTGGGACAGTTCTGCTGGGATCAGCACTATGAGAAGGGGTTTGTGCAGAGTATTTTGGAAGGATGTTTTTAAAGCACTGAAGTGTAACTAGAGGGCAATAGCGTTCAGACAGGAGGAGAGAAGTTACAGTCTCCTCTGTGACAAGAGCATTGGTAAGTTAGCAATGAGCATCCTAGCTGGAGAGCTGCGCTCGCCAGTCCTTGATGACCAGAGAAGGGCTATGGGGGGGTCAGATAGGAGCTGGAAGTGTCTTTTCCTCTCCGTAGCACATCAGACGCTGAATTTGGGATCCAAAGAGTACAGTGAACAACCCTCAGTGTTCAGATAACCTGTGTGAATGTGACCCTGAAACTTGACGCTTTCTCTTGCAAATGGGCGAATTATCCCGAGAGGCACACGGAGGGCAGGATGGAAAATCGGTGTGTGTGTAGGCGATGGAAGAATTGGGATCGAGAAGTCGTTTGTATGGCTCTGAGCAGTGGTTTGGGAGAGGGATTTCTGGCTTGGCAATGGGCAGGAGATGGGAAGTCGAAAGGAGAAATTTCGCTGTCGCGCAGCAGCGCTGAAAAGACGAATGTTTCCAGGTCACTGTAAAAAAAAATAGCTATGTTGGTGTTTGTGTGTTTTGTTGTTGTTTTGTTTTTCTTTTTGAAGTAGGAAAAAAAGGGACTGTGAGTTTCGTAGGGCAGGTCAGAGACTTGTGGAATGGACGATGCCTGTTGTCACACAGGTGAGAAGAGAATGAGATTGCTGAAGTTTAAGGTGAGGAGAAGAGCTTAGAGAATTTGGGCTCCAGAATAGAAAACAAAGATCACGGAGAATTCATGAGTGTTTTGGACTGAAAGAGAATAATCAAGTGCCACCATTGTTGGAAAGGAGACAGTGAACTGGCATCTGACACCCAGTATAATTTGTTGTTTGAGGCTTTGTCTTGCCTTGAATGGCAGTAAGTTGGTAGAAACTTAGTGAAGCCCTACTTGTCTTTGGAAGAAGTTGTTAGCTTGCTTTTTCTTTTTTTTTCACCTTGTCATCGGAGTCTCTGGATTTCCCAGGAGGATCCTTTGTGAAATAGGTTAATGAAAAGAGAAACCTCAGATTTGGTTCTCATTCAGTCCTCAACATCGACATCCGTGACCTTACTGAGCCAGAAAGGGTGTCAGTGAAACGCTTCTGAAGGCTCGTTCCCCCTGCCAGATCCACGTGTTATGGAAGGGAGCAGGGAGTTTCCTTTGGGTGATTTTCCAACATGTAGAGTTTGGATGACACTTAGCGTTACCTCATTTCTCCTCCACTCCCTCCCTATCTCCAAACAGGCAGATCGATGTCCTGTGTATCAGTACCAGTTATTGACTCCCACAGCAGAAGCTGAGGAAGAGAAAGATGTTACTGTCATTTCCTGGTCCTCTCATGTTCTCCAGCTCACAGACATTGGAAACTTTCCCAGACCTTACAGGTGCCTCCAAAAACAGGCAAAATGGAGACTCCTGGCACTGTTGGGGCTTTAAATGAAAACTTTAATGAAAAAGGCCAGTTGACTTGAAAATGCCCAAATGCTTCCAGTCTTTTAAAACAGCTCCAGAGCTCCATAACATTCCTGGCTAGATAGGAACACCCTCTGGCTGCCCTTGCCTGGCTTTCCTACCAGGGAAATCAGACCAGTCTCACCGAGGGGGACAGGACGGAGGTCGAACTTTGTTCCTTGGGGTCTTCTTGCTGTTGGAATGAGTTGAGAAACATATCTTTATGTGGCACTTCCCTTGTGGCCAAGTATTTCTTGTTTTTTCCAGTTCTTGGAAGGGTGCCAAAGGCTTGTCCAAGTGATTGCTAGTTTAGTGCTGGTAGACACTTAAATTCTCTGGTCACTCGATAAAGAACAAGAGGCCTGGGTGTTGTTAAAGCTGTTGATACCATAGCCATGGTAGGTAATCCATATTGGATATCCATAAGGACCACGTGGAAATATTTAAAGAGAGAGAAATAT